AAATCTCAGAAAGCTTTGCAACACCTTGAATTCTAAACCGACCGACATGAAAAACGTTTCGGGAAACTTCCCAGCCACAACGCGTTAACGGTAACCGTAGCTGGAAAACATAGCCGTCTGTTATATTCCACTGATGTGACTTCGAAAGTTCGCTACCTCATCGACGCCGACACAGACGTTAACGTTCTTCCAGCGAATTCTAACGGCCGACTGCTTGAAGCAGTTTTGAACTCACAGGCGTGAAATGGGGAACCAATCGCCACATACAGTTGGCGATATGTATATCTTTACGTTGGTTTACACAAACTCATCCACCGGATCTTCGTTGTTGCAGATGTTTCTACACAAATCATTGATATATACCCGCTACAACAACATAACTAACTTGTTGACACGCGCAAACGGAGGTTAGTAGACGGAATTACTAATTTATCTGTTTGTGCAACTTCTTTTTCCGGTTGTAGATTTGTTATAACTGTGAAAAATAATTGCTGTTGATTAAGGGTAGCGAATTATTGATTGAACCAAAGACGCACAAACACGTAGAACGGCCTAGGGTTCTGATTGGTTCCGCTTCCCTGTCTAACCCAGCCAGTTGAGTCCAGAACACAAGTTTCAGCCTCGGATTTATGAATCATTATATTTCAAACATACTTTGTTTATATACCAGTCAAGCAGTCCACAACATACCATAAAATAGAAAATAACATTGTACAATAATGGCCAACAGGAAAATAACACGTTAAATAAATATTGACCAATAAGATGATACCATTTCATGTCCAAGGATAGCATTAGGCTTAACAGGATAATTTTTGGGATATTTCCCTGAATATCCCAACAAGATTATCACCAGTCATAGTAAGGCACGCGATCCATCCATACTACCAACGAATACTCGTAGGTACCTTGTAATATACCAAACGCAACCGAAGTTACCACGTGTAACCAGCAGTGTTGAACATGACATCACAACCTCAGGGCCATCTGTATTCTCGAAAGCGTGAAGACCAGCTCCAGAAAAGCTGAGTTTGACTAGAATCAAACTCGATCACATGATAGATTTAGGAATCGTTCGGCCATCAAACTGCTTATGGGTATCTCCCTTGCATCTGGTCCCTAGAGGGGACAGCAACAACTGGTGAAAAACTGGTGACTCTCGGAGATTGAATGCGGAAACCATTCCTGATCGATACCCGTTGCCTCATATTCACGAGTTGATTGATAACTTGAAAGGTAGAACTGTTTGTTCGAATATCGACTTGGTTGAAGCATATGATCAAGTTCCTTTGGCTGCTGACGACATTCCTGAAAACGCTATTATTACTCCTTTAGCACTCTACGAATTTTCGCGAATGCCTTTCGGTTTAAGAAAGGCTGCCAGAACTCTCCAAAGGTCCATAGACTACGTTTTTCGAGGTCTCAACTTCACATATGCGTACGTTGATGACAGGTTGATCGCAAGTCCAGATAGAGAATCTCATCTCCAGCAACTGAACCTTGTCCTAGAATAACTACAGAGCACGGCACTACTGTAAACATTCAGAAATGTCAAACCGGAACTGACCGCTTAGATTTCCTAGGGCACGCTATTGATGATGAAGGCACCCGTCCTCTGAAAAGCAAATTTGCGGCCATTTTGGACTACTCGGAACCGACCACAATCAAACAATTACGCACGTTTAACGGCCTTGTGAGTTTCTATAGAAAGCTCATACTAAAATGCGCATTCCTTGTAAAACCTCTAACTGAGAAACTTCGTGGAAATGAGAAATCCATCAGTTTCGACGATACCGTGAGAAAAGCATTCTCCACAATTAAGGAACTTATCGCAAAATCAACCTTGCTTGCACACCGAGACACTTAAGCACCCATTAATATCACAGTATACGCATCGGAAACAGCAATCAGAGGAGTTTTACAACAGTGGGTTAACCACTCCTGGCAACCCTTGACATTCTTCTCGAGACAGTTGCTAGACACCGAATCGAGGTATAGCACTTTCGGTAGGGAACGCCTAGTTATGTATTGTGCTGTACACCATTTTCAACACCTTTTAGGAAGCCGAGAATTCACTCTTTTCGCTGATCATATACCTCTTACATTCTTCTTGAGCTCGTCTTCAGACAAGTACTACCTTCGAGAGTCTCGACAACTGGGGCTACATTTCGCAGTTTACTTTACATATACAACACAATTTTGGAGCAGGCAATGTAGTTGCAGACGCCTCGTCTCGTATAATTTCCCCGAACATTTTCCAAGGAATTCATCTCCTTGAGCTCACTCGGCTTCAACAAGAAGACATCAATCTTCAGCATGAGTTATATTCACCAGCCCTTAGACTGCGTATTAGACAGATGGCGACGGGTAAGGAAATCGTATTATGCGACACATCTACAGGTAGGGATCGTCCAATCGTGACGAAAAATCATGGACGCAGCGTCATCGACTCGTCGCACAAACGTTCTCATTGAGGTGATCGTACAGCCGTCAAGCTCATAGCAGAACCATTTTGCTGGCCTGGCATGAATAAAGACATTAGGGAGTGGTATGTAAGCTGCCAGAAATTTCGGGTGATTAGACTTCGGAAATATCCCTCAGGCTCTTTCAAAACTCTCGATGGTCTTTTCGACCATATTCATTTGGATTTAGTAGGACCTTCACCAGATTCGAATGGATACTCCATCTCTTAACTTGTGTAGACCGTTTCACACAATTTCCGGAAACAGTGCACTTCGAGGGCATCACTGCTGAAACAGTGGGCTGCAGTTCGTCAAACCGTGGATATCAAAGTGCGGCTGCCCTCTAACAATCACTACAGACCATGACCATCAGTTTGAATCTGGACTTTTCCGCTGTTTGACTACACTATTATGAATCACACGATTCCGAAAAACTGCTTACCACCTACAAGCAAATGGGTTAGTAGATCGCTCTCACCGACAGCTTGAAGCTTCTTCAACAGCTGCGAAATTTCTACAGTAAAATGACGCTCTTTAACTCGTTTTACTTGGTATAGGCAATGAAGTGAAAGTGGATTCTTGGTGCTCACACAAGTAGGCTTACAAACACAATGCGTTCAGCTAAACTCGTTTTCTCTTGACCGCAATTAACTGACGTTTCTCTTTAATCTGTACACGTCTATTTACGGCGCGACTCAATTCAACGACCTCTCGACTGTCACGATGATACTTCGACGATAAGCAAAAACAGACTCAAAACAATGTGTCCAAGAAGAAGAGTAAGGTTTCCAGAACTCCTAAACGAATACTTCACGTAAGAATAAAAAATAATATTTTGTCTCACAGCGGTTTTTCGCTGTATTGTTAAAAAACGAAAACAAACAGTATAACGTTAATATGATTATATATATACATTTATTCAAAAAAATCATTTTTTTCTAATATGCTCGCTTATATATGTTTATTTGTATTTCTTCAAAAAAACCAAAAAGTATTCTGCATAATCCGTTTATGCGCTACTGCATGTTCACGAAACGCATATGTGTGCGCGTAGTTTCCTTTTTTGTCCGTTTTGTGTATATGGGCACGTACGAGTGTAATTCGACGTACACAGACATACCCTATCTTCTTTCCAAGACGTCTAGAAAAGACAGAGAAAACGACGAAGTTTACGATGAACCAAAATTTTCACTGTATCCGTTTCCTCATTACTATATTGTAACAGAACTTTTTATAGTATAGAAAGATAACCAGATGTTGCTGAGCATAGCAAGCTATCAGAAGAGTGTTCACCACCAACAACTCGTTGGGTTCAAACTTCTGGATGGCCATGTCTTATGGTTAAGATTCCTCACTAATGGGGTGATCTGTAGCGGTAAATAAATCCCCAAAATAAATAGCTCTGTAAGTATTCGAAATTTGATGCTGACCACATCAGCTGAAGGCACCCTGTCACGCATTCACACCAGATCACGAGTGGGAACTCCGTGCTTAACTTTACCGGCAACCGCTAACCAGTTTAGATCAGTCCCTTCTCGATATATTGATAACTTATAGAATATATTTTCTAACCTCGTCGCTTCTGACTTTTGACCTCACTGGGTGGGAAAGATTCAATTATAGATGTTACTGTTGAAAGTGTTGTCAAACTACAAATACCTGTGGCATCCTCATACCATGAATGAAGGTGCTCGGTCATGCATCCACACCATGTCATGATTAGGTACGCCGTGATACACTTACCTTGCAAGTACTAACCACAATAGATAAAACACACCCTACCATATCGGCAAACTTCCAAATATATCTTCAAACACATTCGTTTATCACTTCTGACTTCATTGGTATGATATACCTCAAATATGATCGTGTTACAGACAAAACAGTTGTCGAACCCTGAAGCTATCTATAATCTTTAAGCAGACCCATCACTCAGGCCAAATATTTCAGTTATAAATACTGAATTAAATAGGTTCTCAAAACCTTTAGCGTGAAAACACTTGATACTAGATGCGTTAGTTGTAAAAACAAGAATACAAACAAGGAAGTGCCTGATAATAGTTTATTAAGGTAATTCTTTTTACGCACATATAATGATGTAAAACGTCCCAGCTAACTACACCACAGAGCGTAATTATCTCAGACGATTTGCTTTACAAGGTTACTTGGACGATTGACTGATCCTCTTCAGTTGATAGTATCAATCAAAACGTTGAAGATTAGGTTTAAACTTGATGAATTACTATCCTAATTACTTTGGAAACATATTGCACATTCATACAACTAAAACCAGTTTCCCGAAGCTAATTAGAATTTAAAATCATGTATCTTTTCAAATCGCAGCAATGCATGCATTAAATCGACAAGACAATGTCATGTGATTGTGTTTAAGTACATCAGTTAGTTGGTCTTTTTGAGTAGCTGTTTTTAAATCTTGTCCAACTTCATGCGATATTTCTATGCTTTCTAAGTTATTAAACCGCGTTTCTACGAAGTTGTTACTGAAAAACACTTGGTACTACATGACAACTAGTACCAATGGCGCTCCAGAATTTGCACGAGCTTTACAATAACAAGCGTCATCCAAGTCGAAATGGCGATTCTGGAAGAAATTCAACTACTCTTATGTGTTACGTTACGCTTGCAAGTAGTCAGGTTTATCAGGTTGAAGTCGATCATAAAGCAGAATGTCAGGAAGTCATAGATAAAGTATGTTATGATGTTTCCTCAAAGTTATTTCTAAGATATGTAAATTGATAGGGATTACTGAAGAAGCTAGTTATTTTGGTATCCTGTTAGCAGGATCGAGAAACGAATTGTTTTGGCTTAACAGCAGAAACAGGTTATCAAGGCAAATTCCAGGGTCTCCTCCATACCATCTATATTTTAGAGTGAAGTATTTTGTTCAACCATCTACACTTCAACTCGAGGAAACCAGGTAATGTCAAATAATAGACTGAAACCGTACTTTTACAGACATCAGTTTTACACAAACGTCGTATATCATCTAAAAAACGGATCTTGGGACGCTGACACCACCCTGGAAACACAGTCACAATTAATTGCCCTCATGGCATACATACAGTTTGGAAATTACAACCCGAACACCACTCCATGCAAGTATGCTTGCTTTTGGCCGGAATGTCGAAACGAAATTCCACCAGAAGCTATTCGTATGGCTGCTGCTTTTCATAAAGACTTAAAAGATATTACCACTTCCCACGCAAAATATGAACTTTTGTCTATAGTTTCACGAGAATTTCCCTCATATGGAACATATTTCTATGATGTGAAGAATATATTTGATCGCAAGTTATTGCTTGGTGTTGGTCCTAGTGATATTGTTTTGTGCAACTCTACTGGAGGCGTTATCGATCGGTAAACATCCTCTTAATAATGTGTATTTATTGTTTATCCGTACTTAAAGTAATAACACTAATGCAAAAATGAAATTCAGTACACTTTCTAAAACTGTCATATATATGTTCTCGATAATGGCGTTCTTTGGAACCCTTTTGGGCTAAGCTCAACCGTTCGGATACTTAATATGTTATTTCGAAATTTTATTTAAAACCGCGTAACCTTCCACTTAGGATTCAGCCAAGTACTTACTTTCTCTAGGACGTCTATTTGAATAACCACTACCGTTATTTCCTATTTATTTTTGGTCAACAATCCATAAGCATTACATTATGTTATTAGAATTTCATTTATTTATCATTAACGTTTGTTCGTTATATCGTTTACGTGTGCGTGCAATAATAAAAACACGTTATTATCTAAGTTTTCATGTGTGAAGAAGTGTAGTTCGTGTCCAAATAAACATGGAATTAAAGTTACTTTGCTCAGTCACTTGAAGTCTAAACTGAGCAAAAATCTCTTGACAAAATATCTGTGTATTTGAAATTTTAATCTTCACATTATTTGCCATTCATTACTTTGACTTTATATTAAGTGGATTTAAAATAGTTGTGAACGAACTAAAACGTTTTAGTTAGCTGATTTCTGCTTTTAAATGAAACGAACTACCAAGTCTCTTGAGTTTTTTTTGTGTGCAACAATCTGTGCTTAAAATAAATACTTAGAGACGGTGTTGAACAAATCATAATTCTACTTCTTTATGTTTTTTGATAAATACATTTTGTTTCTTCAGTCAGAATGACAATTCCACTTTTCATCCTTCGAGGTTAAATATTCCATCATTTCATTTTGCGCTTAATCTGATATATCATTTTAATTAAAATAAGTGAATCGAACAATTGTAAGCAATTTAATGCAAGATTTTTGTAATTGTTTGGAAATTAACTATTCTTTCTTTTATTAATGAATTTGGTGAACCCGTTAAAATAATATCGAAGTTCTGTTCAACGCAGGTTGTTAAATGCGTTTTGGTTCATGATGATAACTATTTGAAATTTATCGAAGGTATATGTTTTATTTAAAGAAAAACATTAAGATGTTACCCCACCTCACTTGCTTACATTAACTGGGAACGTTTTCTAACAAATGAATATTTATAGTTGACTAATTTTTGGGTCATCTGAATCCATTAGGATATCCAAGAGTATTTAGGATCTTCATCTTAGTACATAATACTGAGAACTGGAGTAAGAAACAACATGATTTTGTTTGTTAACACCTTACTAACTGGATCTAAACTGTCCCTTGTACTTTGGGTTTAGATAAAGCCTCAGTTAATATCTGGTAACCAATATCATTAATAAGTCCATCGACACATCTAATTTCCTTCCAGTATAAGTATCTAACATAGAATGTTTTGTGTTGATTTCTGACTGTCAAACTGAATTGTTACTATCGAATAAAATGCTTAGATCTCAGTTACCCATCAACAGCTCCTCAGATATTTTATGTTCATAAAGTATATATAGTGATTCATCAAATTTCGGGCTAAATACAAGGTCTTAGCTGGAGAGGATATTTTAGTTAAGTTATCAACTTGTACTACCTGAAATCTCTAAATTTTAATATATTCGTAGCCTCAGTCTATCCCATCGTTGTTTTCGTGGAATTAAATTAGTGGAAATTCAGGAGCAGCCAAAGTAAAACAAAATCGTCCCTTGAAGTTTCTAAGGGTTTGATTAATTCTCTAACAAACCTCTCAAATGCAACACTTCTGACCTTTGTTTGATGAAATTATGATTATTGGGACAAATGTTTCCTCCATCTTTAATAGTTTTGTATTTTTCCTCACGCTTCTAGTCTTCTTAGTATCTTTATACGTATTCTAAGTTTATAAACTTTGGTTTAGGCGTTTTTACAAGCCTTGTTTCTTGTATGTAATATAAGAAAAAACCTTGATAATCGTGTTTTATTTCCACGAATTTCGTCACTGTTTACGTTATTGAGTTTTTATTTTTAAAATACCAAATATGTAATTCATATGGTTATAAAACTTAATCAATACTGGTGGTTGCAGTTACACTTTAAAAACTTAAGGTACTCTAGTTAGCTGTACTAAACTCGGTGTCATGTTCTGCCTAATGTGGTAGTAAATCAAAAAAATCATACGGCTAAGTTAGGTAACGCTTTCGTTAACTCCTTATTACTGCAGGCTTTGTGGAGAATCAAAACTGGGCAAACAGAGCCGTGTAATTTGAATATATATAAAACGATATGGCCCTAAACAAGTTGAAGTCAATGTGCTTTACATTGATCTTGATATTAAGAAATAAAAACACTTATTTTATGCACATTGGTCACTTGTGTTACTTTATTTTATATTCTATGCGTTTTTCAATTATTATTGCTATTGTGTTCTTGTCGCGTCATTACGTTTCCACATATTTGGTGGATTCCATATTAATTCAAGAATATCTTGAAAGGCGCCTGTATATCGTAATATGTATTAAGTACTTTTGGTTATGATCAAATCAAATTCTTAAGAATAATATTTTTATCGAGTCTACCTTTGAATATTTTCAAGTTTATAGTAATATGCCATTTTAAAGAACTGCATGACTACCAAACTACTAATATTTTTCTGACTCCAACTGTTACATTATTTTTAACTTACTTGGTTTTAATAAATTTTGTAGTAAAATAGTTCCGTATTACTATTTTGTAAAAATAAAGTGAGATATCACTATGAATTATTTAATCAATTATTTGTCAGACCATATATTTTACCTAGCTCTGTTCAGAAAAATTCTGGTTTGAATTTTACTAATCAATTCCATTTGCTTACATGTAAAAGCGATTGTTTGAGTCCATTCTGACCTCAAACAATTTGCACTTACAGATGTAATTGCGTACTACTATTGTTACTTATATTGCTAATATTATAGTCATATATAATCTAGACTCAATGTTTCAATGTTAATATTTGTTCAGTTATTTCAGCCTTTTGTGTTTAGATATTTGCATGTTTAGTGAATAAGTTGGTTTTATGTTGTGTTCGTTAAAATTCTAGACCATAAACTAAATCATTTACCGAATAACAGTGGCATAATCATTGGTATCAAACTCAAGCATAAAAACACGTTTATACCGTCACGTTTTGAGTAGAAAATACAAATGCAGACGTTATGTGAAAATTATGGTTTTATTTTGTGTGGCGCTTTTAGTCAATAGTTTAGGATGCATCTCTTAATAGGTTCTAATTATTTGGACACCTTTCTCATCTGTAATTCGTTCAGTTTGCTAAGGCTGTGTGTGGCTGAGTTTCGTCCCTTCCAAATAGGTAAATATATCCCTTTTTATGTCCATAATTTTGCTTGTTATGGAAACCTTCAATTTTCTTAAGATGGGTTCCAAATCCTATGGGTTCTTTAGATTTTGTGAATAATTTACAAATTGAGAGTTTAGTATTTTTCAAAATTAGTTGATCTGTGATCGACATATGTAATACTAGAGATGAATATTTGCTAAAATTCATCCTATTGAGGCTACAAGAATGAAATCATCGATTAGGATCCATCTTGAACTAAAGAGATATACTACTGGTTCAAATAAGTAGTTCATAAACAACATTACATTTTAAGCTTTTGGTCGGAATAAATTGAACCACAAACAATTGTTTGATACAATCACTCCAATCCAGTCATTAAAGGCCCTAGTGAGTTTGAGTAGCACAAGGCAAAATACTATTCAACGTTTTATTTTTGTAGCCTAAACAACAACTATCGGGGTATAAGTCTACTCCCGATTGCATCCAAATTATTGGCTACCATCAAACTTCGCATACTGTTCAAAACCCGGGAAAGATTAGTTTTCGTTCTGGTCGAGGATATAATAGTCTTCGCTCTTCGATAAATGTAGGCCGACAATCGTTGTGTTTCTTGATATCAGGGTGACCTTCACTTCCTTGGACAGGACTGTCCTCTGGGATTGTCTATTGAAGAAGGGTGTGCTCAAGAAGCTTATTAACATTTTGAGGGCCATAAATGCAAATACCTTAGTCAGAGTGAGGGCATACAACCGTCTCTCTCAATTTTTTTATCCAAGCAATGGGGTTAAGCAGGTTGCCCAGTCTCATCATTCCTGTTCAACCTTACCATTAATTGACGTTTTGAAAACAGCTCTGACGGAAATCGACAATGGTAGTGTAGATGTGCTACCTGGAGAAAGATTTTTGGACCTTGAGTATGCGGATGTTATTTCCTTACTGTGCGATTATACTCAAGCCATGCAATCTGCACTTATTCACTCGGCAATCTGTGTTCGTAGGTATCGCATGTTCTCTGCACCCTCTAACCGTAAAGTACTTTTACAAACATTTCAGTAGCCTGTGTTTGCATTAACTCTTGGTAGTAAGCAGATAGAAGCAGTCGAGAAGTTCATGTATCTAGGTATCAGTGTACGTTCTAGCAGTGGTGTGAGTGACGAGACCAATTCACGTGTAGTGAAGGCCAAAGAGGCTCATACCAATCTGTTCCAACCTTGGCACCTTCGTGGTATTAGTCTGGCTGTAAAAGGCCGGATTTAAAGAGCGTCAGGGAAAGCAGTTCTCTATGCTTAGGAATTCTAGCCTGTCCATATTTGATCATTGTTAACTCCTAAGGATTGCCGACATCCAGTGGCAACACCATATTAGTAATACAGAGGTTCGACAATGTGTATTAGGGCACAGTGTCGACATTTTAAGTGGCATCACCATGTTGAATTACCGACCTCAAAGGCTTGGACATGTCCTACGAATGTCGTCCTAGCAAGCTCCACAACGTGGGTTATTCTCCGGCTCTTGGGACTAGTTGGAAAAAGCGGAGAGGTGATCAATTTATGATATGGTACTGTGTTATGAAGGAAAACTGCACAGGAATATCATCTGTTGGTCCTTCACGACTCCTTGATTGGGTGTCCAAGAGACAATGCAACACAGTGGCTTGAGATGTTATCAGACATAGCTCAAAATAGGAGCCAGTGGCGGTCCTGCTGTAATTTCCTTTTACTTTATTTATGTAAGTGGGAGGAAGTCCTTCAATCAAATCAATCTTTGAGATGATGGAGAAGACTTGTAGCCCAGGCGAATGATTTTGATGTAGTTTTCTCCTCTGAGCTGGATGGTTTGGTCTTGAAGCTTTCATCGTCCTTCTGAACAACATGATCAGCATAAACTTGTATTTTGTGCTGATAATGTCGTTAAGAAGAACAATGAAAGCTCCACGACCAAACCATCCAGCTCAAAGAACAAAGCTCTATCCAAATTAAATCACTCCTTTCTGCATTACATTTTTCTTAACTGAACCACTCTTCCCATTATTATAATAATTATTTTCACCCTCATTCACCAATTACTATTCATTTTGGTTGCATTTTTCTTGTTACACTCACCTTCCTTTGTCTGTCTCTCCACAATCTCACTTTTATTATGCGGCTTTTATTTATTTATTTATTTGAACACAAATATTGGTACAAGGGAGCACCAAATATATATGCGCCACACAAAGCAATGAGAATTCGAAGAGAACAAAAGAAGGTAACGAGCGCAAAAAAAGAACAATGACGAACAGATTAGTGTAAGATAGTGTAATAATGGTAATAATGGGAGAAAAGGAAAGGTACAACCAGGAGAAATCTTTCAATTAAGGAAGATACAACCACTTTATATGAAGTAAAAGAAGGTTACAGCAGGATCGCCACTGACTTCTATTCTGAGCCATATCTGATAATGTCTCCAGCCACTGTGTAGCACCATCTCTCAAACCCCAGCCAGAGAGTCGTGAAGGACCAACAGAAGCCAGCTCTTTGCAGCTTCCTTCCATACACGGACACTATGTCATACACTGACCAACTCTCCGCTTCTTCCAACCAGTCCCAGAGTCGACAAATAATGCACGACGTGGAATTCTCTGGGACGACATTCGTAGAACATGTCCAAGCCACCGAAGTCGATGTTTCAAGACGGTGACATCAATTGGATTACCGTCTCTGCACCCGAACACACGATGCCGAACCTCGGCATTGCTACTAGCATGGTGTTGCCACTGGATGTCAGCGATCCTTCGGAGACAACGATGATCAAACACAGAGAGTCGTCTAACATCCTCAACTCGGAGAGGCCAGGTTTCACAAGCGTAGAGCAAAACTGCTCTCACCGACGCGTTGTAGATCCGAACTTTTACAGCCAGACTAACATCACGAAGGCGCCAAAGATGATCCAGATTGGCATAAACCACTCTGGCTTTCAATATACGTGCATTGATCTCATCACTCACGCCACCACCAGCACTTATGCAGCTATCTAGATAAGCGAACTTCTAAACTACTTCTATCTGCTCACCATTCAGGGTGAATACAAGATTAGAATCCTGCCAGTCTTGTAGAAGTACTTTGCACTTCGAAGGTGCAAAGCTCATACCGTACCTACGGACACTGATTGCCAACTGATTAAGTGCGTATTGCATGGCTTGGGCATTATCGCACAGTAAGACTATCATCCGCATCCTCAAGGTGACCAGCGATTGGTTCATACGCCATTCGTTCCCGCAGGATACTGGAACCCATGTGCATCATTGGTTTGGGATCCGATTAAAGTGCCGGACATTCGCTTTTCATCCTCTCATTTTCGTAAACAACACCGCTGCGAGGAGGCAGTGAGTAGGACTTCCCTGACAGAGGCTGTATACGCGTGGCCGTGTGAGAGCATTTCGAGAGAGAGGGCGGGCCCAACCCACTCTCGGCCATACCAGTGCATTTGGGGGCCTTATATTTTTTTGATGCCTGTTTGTACCAATATGTATGTGTCTGAACTTATGAATAAATAAGTAACAATAACTTATACGAAAGTTGTTATATCAAGGTGTTATACCTACCATCAGATATGCTATTCTGTCGCACGTACTATCGATTCATACTGTCATGAATTGTATATTTGCACTATAATATGTTTGTGCTTTCTCTCCTTTTAAAAAAATAGCTTTCCGTTTTGTCGAGTACACACAATCACAAACAGCGCACGAGTTGTTACTTTAAATTTGCTTGAAGAGGATGGCAGTGTTAAAGGACAAAATTATCAATTATCATCAACTCGTTTAGCTTATTCCCTTTATCGTACAATTACTGAAGTTCATGCTTTTTTTCAAAGTGATTCAATTAAACAATCTTTAATTGAACAAACTGTGCGAGAATCATTTACTTCAATGTTTGATCATAATGGTTAGTTATATTTACATTTTTATTACATAAGGAAAACAGTGTTTGAAATATTAAAAACATTTCCTAACCATTTTCTAAATTCTGAGAAACCTGCCCGCCTTAAATCCTTAATTTTTGAATTTATTTCCTCGACTTGCACATGTGATGTTCAGAATTAAATTTCGTGTATTTTAATTCTTAACTTATCGATTCCTCCTCTTGTTGTGGTGACATGAAACGTGTTAACTTGGACCAGTAGACGTTTGTACTTAGTCTCGCATCTTTATCGACCGATTGAAATAGAATGAAGTGAGCTTAGTGACATGACGTTAATGGTTCAGTTTTTTTGTACAGAATAAATTTATTTTAAGTCCTCTGTGAATTAATTTCCTTTTTTACATATCTAACTAGACAAATATGACTGGAATTTCAGCTCACGCTGATTAGAGGTTACTGGTCAATGTAAGAACGATTCTCATCATGATTGGTTAGCAGTTGAATATTCACTAAAACTAATAGTGAATAGCTTTTCTTCAAAATTATCTTTATGATATCATGAATACGCTGCAAGATTTTATGGTCATATGCAGTACATTCTCAAACTATTAATTATGACTTTATTAACATATGTTACTAAAATAAATTCATTAAAAATATTTGTTATATTCAATTCTATGGTATATACTACTATCATAAATCTCTGACTAGAATTATAATCAAATTTCCTTAATTATCATAGGGTATTGAAAATTTATAAAATTTTAATTGGTTATAAAGCACCAACCGGCCTAAAAGTGGTTGTATAGCTGTTATATGTTAATTGGAGTACGATCAGAGAGCCTCTTATGTGATTGTAACTACGCATTACTTAGTAGTTTCTGCATACATCGAGAATTTTTTTCGTTACCCCTCAATTGATAGTGAGTATAAGTTAACTGATGATATAGTTGAATAATGTTAAAAGCTGAAATTCTCAGTATACTTGTTACTCTATCAAACTTAAGAACTTTGTATCTTTCTAGTCTAACAGGTTTTGATTTATGTTGACACATTTCTAAAAATTTTATCCGACTGACAGAATACTGATGACTGGTCAATACCTCTTGATATTGAATTTACAAACTTTTGTATCTCATAATTGAATAGGTAAAGAATATGCGTTCGATCTCCGATATACATTTTTGGAAGTGTATGATCGTGCCAGACGACATATGTATCATTGCACAAGTAACACTACTAATCCTATACCTACATGTGGATCACATGGTCTAACACAACGTACAAGAAGTTTAAGTGGCTCTGTGAATTCTGTTATACATGGTGATAACATTTCAACAAGTAGCTTAGAAGCTATCCACAAGACTGAAGATTCTCGAGGAAAGCAAGACTCATCAAGCCTGGCTGAATCAGTCGTTAGTGTTGAGGTGAGTTTATTTTTAAAGTTGAATTGCCTACGTTTAACTCTTTAGATTAAGTGATTTCTTTTGAACTAGTGATAGCCTCTTCTAAGCGATTCAGTTAGTTCCAAATAATGAGAAACTATTCAATATTTCAAATTAGATAGATTATTACTTAAATAAATGAAAAAGAATCATATTTCATATAAAAGCATGTATAATGCATTGCATTCCTGTTTATTTATATTAGGCTTTCTGTGTATAGCTTGTATAAATTATACAAGAAACAAGGTGAATTTAATTAAGTAAACCAGAATGATGCTTTTGTTTTACAATCTATGGATAAAACTACCCCTTTATTTTGTATCAATTCAAAGGACACATTAAACTGTTTCATATAATATGAAGTGTTTTTAGTAGAAGTACTTGCTAGCATCATATTTGAATGCCATGTTACTTCAAAGAATCAATACTATAGTTTTGCAACTGCCTACTATTTATTCATTATTGTGTACTTTTGTAATGACTAGCTTTTTAAGTCCTGTTAGTGAATCCAGATTATCTAGTTGGAATTCACTTGATAACAGTAATCAGTGATCGTAAACTTTGACTGACATACCCCAGAATTGTTCACAATAAACCACATGCATTCATTCTTCATCTTTTTCTCTATCTTGAATTGCAGTATCCTTCCCACTCTATCTTTTCAAATCATATTCCCAATATTTAGTCTTTTTTAAATCATCGCTACCACATTATTTCACCACATTTGTTGTTCACATCTGGTCACGTTATTAGGTATGGCAACTTGAGGCAATGTATGTCTGTTCCAGTCTTTATATTGACGATGTCCGTCTCATAGAATCATTCTACCAGCTTCTAGTCAACATATATCATTTGCTGTATATATATATATATATATATATATATATATATATATATATATGCCTGATCAAAATTGAGGCTCTAATGTTTAATAATTTCACCTAGTAATTCATTCACCTCATCGAACTTTTAACATTAATAAATGTTGTTTTCACTTGTTGTTAAAAACTTAATTTTATATTATTTACTATTAAAATAATTCATAATAGAGAGTGAACTCAACAAATGAAATCATACATCCTCGTGATAAACAACTGTTAATAACTAATTTTAATTTAATGACTCAATAATACGTATGATGTAAAATTTCATTTTCAGTTTTTAAATACATTGAATTATTTTATTTAGTTATTAGTATCATTAATATCACATTTTAAACTCGTAATTCATAGGAATTAAAATCACTTATTAATAATCCACATGTATTGTGGTGACTGTGATAATTGTATTCCTGTATTATGAAACTCTGTTACAACCCTAAGATGGATTTTGTCTTCTTTTTTATTTTTCAAAAGTAAACATATCTTGATGTTACACTAGAGAGATGATTTTGGTTTAGTTTGAAAAGCAATAAGATCTTCATTATTAGATCATACTTTTGAATTATACTCTATCCACTTGGATTAAGCTACTCAGCTGTCACGTAGCTGGGTTTCACAATAAATTTAAGATTTAAATATGAATACTACATGACCTTGTACTGAGTTCTATAAAATTTAATTATTTTAGCTTAAAGCATTACAGCTTTCTAACTTCGTTTCTACTCTTTTTTTCAGCCTTTGGCTATATCACATGTTTACTGAAAACATTGTTATTAAATGTCGGTATTATGTAGTTTTCGTTTGTTGTTTTTTTTAATTCACAATGTTTTTTCTCTATCTCTAATTTTACTCAATTAAATGGCTATTATCGAATGAACCTTCAATTTATGTATTATGAGTGATTTTATTTTAATTTGATTTTAAAGCATGAAATTTGATTCTTCTAGACTAAATAATTTAGCTGATTATTTATATTTACCCAAGATGATTAGTAGTTTTTCTTAATTTGTTTGTAATGATTTTTATTAAAAGGAAGTTATTACGATGGTTAAACATATACTAAAAGATCTATAAACTAATTTTTTGTCCAATATCTCCTGCTGCCAAATAAATCTTATCTATATTTCACCTGTTTATTCTCAGAAAGTTTTGTGGATGCGCACTGCTGAGGAGTTCCATACTAGGACGAAACGGCCCTTCAGTGCTTTCACATTTTTCATGGTGGTCAGCTTTAACTGACTCATGAATTCAACTATTTATTAGTTTGTTTAAATTACATTTTTTTTTAAAAACATGGACTATATTCACAATTGATCATCTTAGACAATCGTCATCTAATAATCATAGAATAATGAAAGATTATTTTATCTTTGCTTGACTTTTGATTATTTATCCTATGTGCATGGTCCTTTCTCATATATAATTTACCGTCCAGTTAGATATTTCAGTGGTAAAATAGTCAATTTACTTCAAGAAAATCCTTTTGTTACCTTGTAGCCTCTACCTTTGATCAACTCTGATTAAGTGTTCTTTCATTTCTTACTCAATATTAATTAAAAGATTACATCACTAAGTATATTTTACTGAATAGTTGCTAACACAAATAACCAGTTAAATATTGTTTATCTAATAGGATTCAAAGAAAATTTTCTAATTTCTTTCTTTCGTGATATAATGAAACTAAAATTATTTTTAGCTTTATCTATTGTATTTACCTTAATTTCTACCCTCTTATAAACTTTGTTTGGGATATCCATTTTTCTAATTCATTAGTTTAAACCAAATAGTCTAGTAATTAGTCTATTTTTCTTCCCAAATAACTATGGATATTGTAATCACGCGTCCAATGCATGATATTTTAAAAGCAATGACCTTGACAATTTCCTGATCTTGTATTTTTATTGATTTTCGTTTTCAGAAAAAAAATGTATTGATCGGGTAGTTTATTTGTAAATCGTGTTTTTCGGTTAGTATTTATTCAATGAGAAAAATTCTTAATATTATCCATTGTCATGAAAAGAATATACTATATACATGATTAAATATTAAGCATATTTCCATGCCTTAAATTCGTCTATTCATTTCGTATGAATTCAAAGCTTAACGTCTGTTATTTATGTACTTCTTCTGTTAGCCAATAAACATGATTAGCCTTGTCGTTCTTTACAAGTATGAACTGTTATTAATGTATTGATGAATAAAAAATAGCATAGTGTCTTCATAAAATATGAAATACTTCATTTGTACATTTTCCATTAATTGTCTCTTCCAAATTCCATCATTCCTCCATTCTTGTTGTTGTTACAATTACACTCGGTTTACATTCCTATCCTCTTCAGTTCGATCTTCTCAACCTTCTACTGTTAGGCATTCTGCTTCTGATTGGTGTTAAATACCAATTATATCTGTCAACATAAGTAGCATATACTACAGTATAAGTAATTTTCACATTACCAACTATAGTGATACACAGTAGGTAAATATGTTTTATTCATTTTATTGGATTACCCACTCGTCCAACATTCTGCTGATCTCCGTCAGTACAGTTTAAGTGATTATCACCTTAAACAAAGATGTAACGTAATTGAATATCTTAAGCAGTTCAGTTATGGTCAGTCTATTTGCCTCATTGAGGCAAAATATAAAAAAAGGATGAATGATAAGTTTGGGTTTTTTTTATTGATTGCTTTTCCGGTAACTTATTATTTTGTACTGACCTGTCGAGTATCTTATTCCACTCAATAATTTTTAAACCACCCTCAAACTACCTTTTATATTAAAAGTTGTCAGTCCTGTTTGGAATCGCTTAGTGGTAACATCTTTGTCGTCGACTTTGGTTGAGCTGGGCTCGAAACTTTAAAAATAACAACAGTTTTATTAAGACTATAAACAAGTTTATCTTAAGAGTACCAACTTGTGCAAAACATGGTTACGAAGTCTCCTGTTGATTACTTCCATGCATCTGAGTTTTATACGGATATGCTCTTTTAATGAAAATGTGCTGTTTTCTTCAGAAGTCGCCTTTTTTTCGTCGGCTTATCGGTAACTTTGAATAAATATAGCACTTAAAACTGGTTCTCCTACTGTTTGTGAAATGTTTCTTCCATATTAAGTATGGTTTTGTTAGCAAGTATCCATAATTTAGTTTATTCACCATAAATTGTGTTGTATTTTGATCTGAGATTTTCTAATTTTGCATACTTTTGTTTTGATTGATATCGACAGTGAAAGTAATCAACAAAATTATGTGGTAACACCTATCCAACATAAAATCGACCAACGTCTACATCAATTAACTAACATGTAACCACAATTTCATTCATTGTCAAGTTAATAGGGGAAAGAAAAATTCACCAAAATATATCTGATATACTATCAGTTATATTAAATAACTTACCTATATGGGCAGCGTTTTTATTCAAAGTCTCCAGTATATTAAAGTTGTAGTGTCGGTTACTATGTTAAACCCATATTACTTATTCTAGCTTCTGGACAGGCCAATCTATTCATCATTCTTCCTGAGTCACGTGTTGACCTTGTTAATTGTTCACTTGTAAACCCTGACTGTTTTTATATGAGCGTATGCGTGTGTACATCTTATCCTACTCATCACATGTCTGTAGTTTATTTTTGTCTGACGGAAAAACTAGTGATTAACGCTTGATTGAATCGAGCTGGTTCATATGCCTTCTCCACTGAGCGTCGTTTCGCTTCACTTTCTTCTCTTCTTCTCCCACGTTTCTTCCCTCTGATTGCCTGCCCAGATCATTGTCATATTTGAATTATTCAATTCCTTTATTCACTAAAGTGAGTTAAGTCGATGATTCTATACGAGAATAGTCTTCGTGTATAATTCAATCACGGTCATTCGTCCAATCTAACTGGAGTCAGATAAAATGCATTAACTTCAAGGTGCCAGAAGGTGCTGGGCCGTAAGAAGTATTATCATAAGGAATGGATCTCTATGAAAAGGCTAGACAAGATTCAAGAAGGGAAGAACAAAAAGACAGCAATTAACAGCAGCCGAACAAGAAAAAAGAAAGTCAAGGGACAGGCCGAATACACCAAAGAAAACAAGCAAGTATAGCGGAACATTAGAGCCGACAAGTAGAAATATGTCGAACACCTAACAACAACAGCGGAAAAAGCTTCAAAGGAAAGAAATATGAAACAGCTGTCAGACAACGAAGAAACTAGCATGGAAATATAATAAACCAGAGAGACCGGTCAGGGACAAAGAAGGCAAGACAATCACTGAGATTCGAGGACAGAGGAACAGATGAGTGGAATACTTCGGGAAATCTTGAATAGACCAGTTCTATTGAATCCACCGGACATCGGAGCAGCACGCGAGTGTACAAAACATACATATTCAAACATCCATTCTCGTATTTAATTCCGTTATTCACCAACGCGATTTAAGTTGATAACTATATAAGAGGATTGAAGATATGTATATTATCAATAACAATCATTTGTACGATCCAACGGGAATCAGATAAGAGGCCACTAAAAAGTAAGTAAATATTTTCTTAACTGGCTATCTATTTTTTCTCGCATTTCTGATAATATTTTCAGATCAGTATGATGTTATCAATAATTAACTGCAACAAAATATAACGTCTTCTTACTTTATTGGATTTCGATTTTCTATACTTTATAACAAAGATTCAATTTTTGTTCCTTCAACTCCCTACTTTCAACATCAGTGAACTTGATATAGTGATAAAAAGAAGTCTTTGTTTTTATTGTTAATTTAGTAACAATTAATTTGGCATTTTGTTAGGTTTCCGAAAATACATCGCTTATTATAGTAATTTTATGTGAAATTCAGTAATAAATACTTCATATGTTTATATGCTCTCTTGTGCATTACGTTTGTTTTAGGAAGTTCAAGAGATAGTCCAGGAAACTTTGCGTGAAGTAGCACTCTGTCGTGTTTGTATGGACCAACCAATATCACGTGTTTTCTTTCCATGTGGTCATACAATATGCTGCAGCATATGCGCTGATCGTGTAGATCAATGTCCTGTGTGTCGTAAAAGTATTGAAATCAGGCATCCATGCTATTTACCTTGGAATACAGAATCAAACAGTGAAGAGGTTTGTCTTCTTCCTAGCTGTACATTTAAAGATGTAAGTGACCGATTTAAGTCTCATAGACACTCACGTCACCATAAAAACAATACCACATCAGATTCAGCTTTGCATGAAACAGCATCAGCACCTTCCTGTCAATTATCATCTTTTATCAATGAAATTTCAAAAACATCTGATCGTTCAAGTAGCCTTAATCAGTCCACACCAACTAGTGTTCCTCATTTATCCATAAGCAATCAATCCGATGTCACTTTCTTTTCAAGAGCATCTTCATCAATATCTGATCAAAAGCCTTGTGGAGTTTCGACAATGACTGCTTCAACCTCAGGAAATTCGGTTCCTTTACTAGTTACATCTTCAAACAATCCTAGAAGTCATGAAGCCGAGAAATCTGTTAGTACTACGCGTCGTGTTACATGGCAAACAGAAGATTAGCGATGCTTAGTAGTACTTATGCATTATACAGTGTGCACAATATTTGTATAAATTATTTTATTTTACGGTGATATCAAAGAAAACCATTCACAATAACCTGAATTTGTTTCTAAATAAAGACTCACTTTTATTCCTATTTAGCTTGGCTTTTTCCTTTCTTTTTAAACTACAAAGTTTGTCGTCAAACGGTGCAATTTGTTCTCTTTTTTAAAAAAAACAACCTTTTTTGTTACTTTTCTCCTTTGTTCTCTACATTGTATCATATATATTTATATTTGTATTCTTCAGTCTTTCAAAATTCATGTAGTTTTTTCAAACTCCCCTTATGTATTAAATTCAAACATTTATGTATTTGTATACCAAAGATTTTCAGTGTAACCTAAAAAGAGAAGGAATTTATTTTTATTTACTTACTACAACCATAAATTCGTATATATATTGTTCTGACCGTCATATATGTACATATATATTTAAACACGCATATATTTATGATTAACTACAGCAGCTCATGTTCAACTGATCTCAACAATATATCACAGATCTATACATGTATATGTTATCTTGTTTATGAATTTAATATTGCTTTATTTCTTAATCTCATTGCATAACCTATCATTCATTTAAACCTTTTGATCAATGTGACACGGTTTCAATTCATGAAGAAAAAAAGAACCCTTTTTTGAATATAATAAATATTGTACAGATATATGTATTTATATACATAACTTTTATTACTGTTGTTATCATTATTATTATTATCAAGTCATTTGTGACGTTTACTGCCTCACAGAAAAAAACGAACATATTTTGGTCACTCTTTACTGGTATTTAATTTCGAAAAGCATTATCACTAGTTATCCATAAATTTCAAGTTTATATCTTACATCTTATTACTTAATTTTTGTCTCGCTTGATATGTGTATAATAAAACCACAATTTTATTTATATAGATTTGAAGAGCAAATGTTCAATCTTAATTGTTTCAAAATTATTTCCGTTTAAGGAGGACGTATAGTCAATTCCTGAAAATCTTTTCTTATAGTTACCTTTAAGGTCTTTTAATATAGTTTAGGAAACTAGTGTAAATTCAATAGTTTTATGACGATTCAAAGACTAGTTTTTTCTTAGGTATGAGTGAGTACATAACTATGGACTTGAATGACTATTGATTCCGCTGTATAATAGCTTAGCATACAACATGAGTTTCCCAAATCTAAACTTATCTGAACAAAACTTTAATCACTAAGTTACAATTTATTTCTTAGCTAAAGTTTTGCAAGTAACGAAAGAATAATATAAAAATTGAAAATTTCCTAACATTTAAGAAGATATAGTTTATCTGATTATCGAATAACCCAAATAAAAGACGTTCAAATATTCAGTGTATAAAACTAAAAAGAAGATAACTGTGATATATATAAGCTAATACAAAACAATTACAGAATTATAACATTTAGACCTCATTATTCAAGCCTAAATTTCATCAATTTCGGTAGGTAATATTCTTCATCGTGCAACATTCTTTTCCAATGACCGTAGTACCACATCACTATAATCAATTCGTTCTCATTTACCAGTGAAAAGATGTCAAGTACAATTTTTTTTAATTCTTGGGTTAATCATGACTTTGAATTACATATCTGACATTATTCCTCAACACCTAAATCCATTCGTCATTTTGAATACATAATTTACCTATCGGTTATATCATTCAGTATTTACTGCTTAATTTCATTCAGTCGTTTATTGAACAGAAATTAAAACCTTCCAATTGTTCTTATGATAATCATTGACTTTCCTTCCTAGAAAATTATTCATCGATTTCCACTCTATCCAACCTTGTCCAAGACAATCTTTTCCAGTTGCTATTTTTGTTTCGGATGTCTGCTCCCTATTCTCGACACTGTGTTCTCTGGGCTTCCGTTTCCCTTCAGAATCCAAGTTAATGCTCATCTCATGATACAGTTTGATGATTTCCGTAATGTAAGTCCTATCCACCTCAAACGTCTTTTTCTAATTTCCTCAGCTTGAGCCTGGTTTATTCTCTCACACAGTAGGCTGTTGCTGATAGTATCCAGACAACGAGCGTTCAGTATCTTACGTAGACAGTTGTTTATATTTTTGATGATAGCTGTAGTAGTTCTCCACGTTTCAGCTCCGTACAAGAGAACTGTCCTGATGTTCGTATTGAACATTCTGTAGTTGATATTGGTTGACAGTTATTTAAAGATCCACATGTTCTTCAGTTGTAGGAATGCTATCTTTGCTTTGCTAATTCTTGCATTTACGTCTGCATCAAATCCTCTTTTTACATCAATGATGCTGCTGTTCAGGCACGTGAACGTTTGCACTTCTTCCACAGTCTCATCATCAAATGTGATTGAGTTGGTGTTATCCGTGTTATATTTGTGTATATTGAGGCCTACTGCCACAGAGGCTGCTGCAACACTAGTTGTCTTCATCTGAATTTGTTCGTGTGTATGGGATAGAAGAGGTAATTCATCTGCGAAGTTCAAGAATTCTAATTGATTCCGATCTGTCCATTGTATTCCATGCTTTCCCTTAGATGTCCAGGTTTTCATAATCCAGTTGACCACCATAAGAAGTAGAAGGGGCGAGAGACAGTAAGCAGCCTTGTCTGATTCCGTAGTGACATCTGTGGGAAAGTCTGAGCGTGCTGCTCCGATGTCCGGTGGATTCAATGGAACTAGTCTATTCAAGATTTCCCGAAGTATTCCACTCATCTGTTCCTCTGTCCTCGAATCTCAGTGATTGTCTTGCCTTCTTTGTCCCTGACCGGTCTCTCTGGTTTATTATATTTCCATGCTAGTTTCTTCGTTGTCTGACAGCTGTTTCATATTTCTTTCCTTTGAAGCTTTTTCCGCTGTTGTTGTTAGGTGTTCGACATATTTCTACTTGTCGGCTCTAATGTTCCGCTATACTTGCTTGTTTTCTTTGGTGTATTCGGCCTGTCCCTTGACTTTCTTTTTTCTTGTTCGGCTGCTGTTAATTGCTGTCTTTTTGTTCTTCCCTTCTTGAATCTTGTCTAGCCTTTTCATAGAGATCCATTCCTTATGATAATACTTCTTACGGCCCAGCACCTTCTGGCACCTTGAAGTTAATGCATTTTATCTGACTCCAGTTAGATTGGACGAATGACCGTGATTGAATTATACACGAAGACTATTCTCGTATAGAATCATCGACTTAACTCACTTTAGTGAATAAAGGAATTGAATAATTCAAATATGACAATGATCTGGGCAGGCAATCAGAGGGAAGAAACGTGGGAGAAGAAGAGAAGAAAGTGAAGCGAAACGACGCTCAGTGGAGAAGGCATATGAACCAGCTCGATTCAATCAAGCGTTAATCACTAGTTTTTCCGTCAGACAAAAATAAACTACAGACATGTGATGAGTAGGATAAGATGTACACACGCATACGCTCATATAAAAACAGTCAGGGTTTACAAGTGAACAATTAACAAGGTCAACACGTGACTCAGGAAGAATGATGAATAGATTGGCCTGTCCAGAAGCTAGAATAAGTAATATGGGTTTAACATAGTAACCGACACAACACTTCATTGATCCCTTTCCAGTTGTCCCCAGTCCTAATTTCTCTTTTCAGTAGATTCTGTTTGCATTCGAACCTGTTGCTGAGAACTATCTTGAATTCGTTGAGTTTATTAATATCTCGTAAGAAGGCTGTATTGAACGTTTACAATGCTGTTTCCACAGCTGTCCAGCATTTCTCTAGCTTCAGTTTCATATTGGCAACTATCAGGTGGTGATCTGAAGCTATGTCAGTACCTCTCCTAGTTCTCACGTCATACAATGTCCTTGTGAATTTTTTACTTATGCAAATATGATCTTTCTGGTTGCGTGTAATTGTGATCCGATGAGACCCATGTAGCTTTGTGCATGTGACTGCGTGGGAATATTGTGCCACCACATTATTGAATGCACATAAATTTTCAAATCTATCATTATTCTCTTTCCTTTCTCCCAGTCATTCCATGTTTTCCTATGATTTCTTCATACACTGTGTTGTCCATTCTGAATTTGGCGTTTATGTATCCCATCAGGATGTTCAGGTCATTTCCTGTCCATTACTCTATGATCGACTGTAGCCTGTCATATAACTGATATTCAATGTCATCTTTGTTATTATTTGTGGGTTCATAACGTTGGATAACATTCATCGTGATTCTTTTCTTCTTTGTTTTGAAGGATGGTTTGATGATCCTGGATCCGTGAGATTCCCACCCAATAAGTGCATCACATGCTTCTTTGGACAGAATCAGAACTACTCCTTGAGTATGTGAACCATTTTGCTTTTCGTGACCGGAGTACGGCAGCACCTCTCCCGTATCTAGCCTTTCCTATCCAGCTTGGATCCAATATGTTTCACTGATTACCAGTACTGCCATATTGTATCTCAACATTTCCGTTGCTATTTCACCGGTCCACCCAATGTTTCACATTGTCCGAACGTATTATGTACCTATAAAAATTGTTGATCTGGTTGTTAGAAGATTGTTAGCATATTGTAGTGTAGTGTCAAATAACGGTTTAATCTAACGATACCCTTAAGATAAAGGAAACTTTAGTTTTCTTCCAACCTAGTAACAGTGATTTAGCTAACAACGACTATTTTCAAATCAATCAAATAAATCTCATCCAAGAACAATAAGGATGTTCCAAAACTTGTATTGAATGGTTATCAATGTTTCTGTTATTATTATTATTATTATTCACATTATGATTTAAATAGATTTGGTAAAATCTTCCTATATTTTGTCTTATGTAATTGATTTATTATTTATTACTTTTAATTACAATAATTTCTGACCATTATCATCATAATTATTATTTAATATGGATTGTTATGATTATGATTATCACATGTGATGTATAAATTTCTTTCTCTTTTTTTTCTTCTAATTTAACAGAGCTTACTACTTATCATGATTGAATTAATAAAGTAATTGAAAGAAA